TCGGATAACAACAACAACAACAACATTACCTTAAGCCTCAATAATAAAGGTCACCTGAAACACTATTGTTTTAGGCCTCAGAGAATGCATTCATTTTTAATTCTTCACTCTGTTCTTGTTTATTGATTACTCCGTTTATATATCTTTTGTATATTTCAAAGAAAAAGTTGAAAGTATAGATACATTAACATTATAAACAATATATTAGTTACCTGTATAGTTGGTGTTTTATGAAAGAAATAAAAATTGTGGTGGGGGGGGGGGGGGATTGTCATGACCGCAATTTTTTTCTTTTTAGTATTCATGGGGCAAAATATGTAAATACCCTTCCTTCTTATTGCAATCAACAGAGCCGTAAGGTACTCTATACTGGAGGTGAGAAACACATCTGTCTTGGAGAGATATGAGCACATCAGTGGCATCACATATGAGATGTTGCTGTCCTTCATCCAGGAGTTTTATTCCAATTTGTTTGTGGAAGGTTTCGTCACAGGCAATCTAAGACTGAGGTTTAGAAACTCACCAGATCAGTCCTCATTATGTTTGTAGTTAATAATTTAAAAAACAACCTGTGTCAGGGTTTGTTGTATCCTTGTTAAAGATGTTTAATACGAGCTATGGGTAAGTGTAATTTGAGAAATGATCTGTAAGTCATCATCATCATCAACTTCCACTTTTGCTGTCAAGTGCCGTCGAGAACAACAGTTTACAGTGCCTTGCTTGATGGGTAGCACTTAACTCTTTTCATTCTGTGTGGATGTATAATGTCTTTAGTGGGATCAAGTTTTACAATCAAACAGACTAGTGTAAAACCCTGTAGTAAAGATTGGTTAAAGTTGTTTTGTTCACTGATAGATTTGTCTCCATGTTCTAAAATAGCTTTCACATGCAATGCCTAAGAAGAATACTTGGCATTAAGTGCCGGGACAAAATCACAAAACCGTGAGGTACTGAAAAGAGCAGGTACTACACAGTCTTTTCCATGCTCAGTCTACGAAGGCTCAGGTGGCTGGGTCACACCTGGAGAATGGAGGTTGGCAGAGTCCCTAAGGACATCCTTTATGGTGAATTAAAGACCGTAGAAGATGTTGAGGCCGACCTCTACTACGATATAAAGATGTGTGCAATCGGGACATGAATTATACAGGTATTGAGGTGGACTCCTGGGAACAAAATGCCATGGACCGTGTTGTGTGGAAAGGGCATATCAGGAAGGGAATGAGAGGGAAGGAAGAAAAGATTGCAGAAAGAATTGGAGCTGAGCGTCTGGAAAAAAAACTGGATTAAACACAAATGTTGACAACAATGGTCCTGAAATCCCATGCTATCATTGTGGAAAACTTTTCTTGACATGGGCGAGTCTTGCTGGTCACACTCGCCATAGCCATGGACTGTGAGTCCCATGCCTCCTCATAGCGCAATAAAACACTATCGTCTGGAAATACGGAAAGGTGCCAATCAATCTAAAATAGACTGAGAGGATGATAGTCCACCTTGTACATTGAGTATCACTAGAATTATAAAAAATTTCAGACACCCATACAGGCATCATGAAATATGGGAATAGCGTCAGTTAATAAATTACATAATAATATTTTTACATACATATTCACACACGCACACCCTCCCCCAACAGGCACACCCCACACCCCCACCACACACACGCGCACGCACACCCCACACACACACAACCCCCATACACACATACACAAAAGCAAAAAAGGGATAAAAGTTAGTATTGGGTAGGAACCAATAGTGTTAAACAGTGATAGCTCCCACATGGGGATCCCACATGGGGATCCCACACTATTTTTTACAACTATATTGACGAGCTGAAAGACAGGTGCTTATACTCTCCTCTCAATATACACATCAGCTAATAATGCAACTTTTCTGCTGGTTGGTCAAGACTTCTGCTACATCCAGTGTGTCTTGCTAGCCTGGTTGTGGTGATCTTTACTCTCAGTTCTTGTAATCTTAGCAGCAGTCTGGATGTGCTGCCCCCAAAAATCCTTGGATCATGCTCTCTCTAATGGAATTAAGCATGTTGAAGTCATCCATAGACCAACCATCTCAACAATAGGAGAGCCATCCAAAATACTGCTCCTTCATAGCGAACAACACCTGCATTCCCTGGAACAAAGAGGAAGGTAACTGCATGCACAATTGACCTTTTCAGTGACTCATGCCCTGTCTGGGTACAGAACCTGCCGCACCCTGTAGGAACACACTGACAAAAAATCACTGCTGAGTACACACATGTGGGGATAACTGTTTGATTCCAGCCACATGAAAGCTCATTTCATTTGCCTGTCTAATAATAGGGCTAGACCTATATTTTTATAGACCAGTCGGCACAAGATGGGTGATGTGGTCAGCTTTCCAGGACTGCACTCGGTACCCACTCAAGGCTGGGTCGACCTGGGAGTCAAGGTCATTTTTTTTTAAAAGTCAGGCTCCGCCAGGGAGCAAACCCACGACCTTCCGATCCGCACGTGAGCGTCTAGCCACTAACGCCACGGCAACACACCTGTCTAATAAGTTTTTGTTTTTTGGTGTGTTTTTTTTTACATCTTAACAGGATGCAATTGAAATTGGAGGACTGGCTATGTCATTAGTGGCCTCGCCATTGTCTCAACAAGACTTCCCTCAAGTGAGTGCAGCTTCTCACTTATTTCACCCATTACTTATACTCTGTAGAAGTCGTGGCAGCATATCAGACTGTTTGACTACGTGCTAAATAACATCAAATGTGACTAGAAGGCTCAACAAGGGTTGCCGATGAGATCGAAATGAGCACCATTCGATTCGATTTGATTTGATTCAAGAACCGACATTACAGCACTCGGGGCATTCCCATAAGTGCTCCATCCCCATCTTCAGCAGCCAGCGAAGAGTTCCGATACTAATGGTGCCAGTAGCTTTCTGATTAAACGTCTGTCTTGCCTTTCCTCTGAGCCTCGAACATCTGCCAGAACCTCTCGTCACCCCCAACTGCATCAATCTCCCAAACTGTGGTGATCCATCTGCTCCTCTGAACTGTACGCGCTCTCACACAAGGCACTAACCACGTCTGCCTTATCATGTATCAGTATTCCACCAAGTTGTGCAAAGCTAGCCAGTCTGTCCGCCTGTTCATTTCCCAACACACCGGCGTAACCCGGTGAAAAAATCCAGACAATACTCCTCACTCGTGTCCTCTGCAGCGAAGCATGCCACTCTGCATGAAGCATACATGTTCTGATCTTCCTCAGCATGCTTTCTGAATCAGTTACAATCACAATGTGTGTGTGTGTGTCGTTTTCTCTAGCCAGCGGAAAGCTGCAGTGACCGCCTCCATCTCCATTCTTAAGCTGGATGTTGTGGTATCATATGCTAGGCTCTCCTGCACCAATTGTCGACCATTAGATTTTGCTAAGAACCCGCAAGCACTTCCTTTGTCTCTTGGCACTAAACAGTCTGTGTAAATAATCACATCCTCTGAGCGAGCATTATCTTGAATTAATTGCTGAATTTCCACCTCTGTGGCACCTGCTGGCCAGTCTCTGCATTTCCCGGATCAGCGTGATTATGACTCTACACAGGTCTGACTGCTCAGGTGGAACTTTGACCCACTCCTCTCCTCGCCTAATCTTTTCAAGAATGCAAACCTGTTTGATTGTGTCGAAACGAGCACCACAGAATTATGACAGCACTAACAAACATGTCATAAAAGACAACCAATTTTGAGTTTGTTGAGTCGGTTGTATCACCTGAAAAAAATAGAGCAGACAGGGCAGCCTTGTTGTAAACCACAACATAGTGTGCCACCACACCCCCCCCCCCCTCCCTTTTTCCTTTTATAAAAATCTTTTGATACTGGAAGGTTTCACAGGAGATTCCAAAGTGATGTTATAATCATGATGAAGTATTGTGGATTTATTATTCACAGAGGCAAAATGCACAGTCGTAATGATCATTTCCTAAACTTTTTTAAAAAAATGAGTCTGGCTCAGATGTCAATCTAATCTTAAATGGGTGCCAGGTAAAGTCCTGTGGAATTAAAGGCAGCCAGTATGATGCTGAACACATCACCAACCAAGTGCCGATTTGTCTATAAAATGTAAGTCTAGCCCTATATGCCAGTTACGTCTGAAGGTGTGGAAAAGGGTCCTTTACTTTAAAAGGATCATTTGGGAAAGACAAATTTCTTGAGTGTGTTCTGACCAAAATTTAATTTAAAAAAAATAGGGCACATTATGCTGTGGTGGGGAGGGGAGTCAAAGGGTAGACTCATTAACTCATTAGGTGTTTCAGAAAATCAAAGCAGTGTTTTTCCCCGTTGTGAGTTTGAACAAAGAAGACACAAACAATAGATTGCACAATTTATAGCCTGGCATATTTCGCTGTATCTTGTCAGCTATCAGCCAGTTTAATCCAGAATTATGCGGAAAGAAGGAAATGCTGATCACTTTGCGGTTACCTTGGTGAAACAGTATGTGAATGTAGCCTATTTTGTGTTTCATTTTGACGGTTTCATTTATTTGCTTCATTTTAATCAATTGTTACTGTAGTATGCACCTGACGAGATAAAGCAAAATATGCCAGGCAATAAATTGTGCAATCTATTGTTTCTGTCTTCTTTGTTCAAACGTCAGGTGTTGTTAGGGACTGATAAGAGTTGAGGATGAACACAGAAGATTACCACAGTTTCCCCTCCACCATCTTCTCCCTGTTGACATTGTTTCATCTTAACTCTCCCAGCCACGTCTGATGCAGCTGGCCATTGGAGACTACAAGTGCTTCCTGTCAGCCATCAACCGAGAGGACATCAATTCCTGTGTGGTACAGTACTTCCAGCAAGGTCTCGGCACTATTTATAACTGCTGCCTCAACGACTTGCTAGCGGTAAAAATGAAGTCAATTACTTTTTTATTTGCTCCTGCTTCCTTTAACGTTCACCAGCTGTAAACTCTGGCGGAAAGTTCTGGTTGTACATCCAATTCTGGACTTTGATTTTGTTCCAGAACTTTTTATTTGCACGCACATCTATTTTACAGGTCTTGCCTGTTTATATGCAGAAGAGAAGGCAAACTGAGGTACATGGGTATCACCTATCCTTTGGGGATCATGTGGAGGCAGTTGCTGTGAAATGCCAAAAGGGCTCAAATACACTTAAGATTATGTCAGCAGTGACTACGGCACAAAGAACGTTGTTCACAAGGTTCCAGCATTCAGTTCTGTCGGGGATAGATTATGGACTTGGAATTCTTACCATATCAAAGTGTCTGCTGATGAAACTTGAACACATACAGAATGAGGCCATGAGTGTAATTCTGGGATGTACAAGATACCCCGGTAGTATGTATGCTATATATACTTGCACTGCCAACTATTACAGAGAGGCTAAAAGTGCTGCAAGCAAAGTCATATCTCAGAGTAGCTATAGATAAGAAACATCTCCTGCATGAAGCCCTAGACAGAGCTAAGTGTTACAGACTATGAAGAGAAAGGTCTTGGATGGTTCAAGCTGAAGACACAATTAGACGTGTGTAGGCTTAATTACCTTGGGCGAGGAGGGGGGTGGGTCAGAATGTCCCAGCAAATGTGAGACTTCTGTAGGGTTCTGATCAGACTGGGTTGTCATTGTAGGAACTGGCCAGCTGGTGCTGCAGAATCAGAATTTCAACAAATGATTCATGACAATTCTCACCCAGTTTATATGATAATCTATACAGATGGCCCTGTGTTGAGAGGCAGATGAAGCTCATGAGGGTTCTTAGCAAAAGTGAAAGCCTGGCATATGACACCACAAAATAAAGTTTGAGAATGGAGGTGGAGGCAGTCACTGCAGCTTTTTGCTGGCTTGAGAATAAGCTGTACACATATGTCATAATTGTAACCGACTCATAGAGCATGTTGAGAAAGATGGAGAAGGGTATGCTTCATGAAGAGTGGCAAGCGTCACTTTGGAGGTCCCAGGTATTTAGTGTCCTTTGGATATTTTCCCTAGGATGTACCGGTATATTAGGAAATGAGCTCTGCACAGTTTTGGTTGTGGATTGATGTATGACGAGCTAGATGTTGTAAGGGCTCTGTGGGGACCAGTGAATAGTGTGGAAGCACAGATGGACCATCATGGTCTGAAGAGAATGGTACTGGGAGGAGTGACCTGGGGATCTGGTCAAAGATCAGCACTCAAGGGAAAGGTGAGACGGATATACAATTATACTGCTATTGATACCCTTGAAATTGGAAATGTGCGCTTGCTGCTGAAGATTGGTCGGAGTGCTTGTGGGAATGTCCTGAGTTCTGTGATGTCAATTCTTAATTAAACATAAAACATATGCAGACTGTTAGTTTCTTGCCTCTTAAGCAGATGCATTATGACTTTAAAAGTAACACCACTTATTAGAAGCCTCCTGTGACATGCTTGTTAGAGGACAGTGGGAATACGAAAGCACGAAATCGGACCAATGCTAGGAATAAAGCAAGGTCTTACAAGTCATAAAAGAACAGCAAATGAAGTGGTTTGGACACCCAACAAGAATGCCCTGGTACTATCTGCCACAGCGATCAACACTGAAACGTTACAACGGGTATAGAGTGAGAGGAAGACCTCGAAAAAGAACAGCCTTACAGAAATGAGCATCAATTTTAATGGTGCTCTCGACAGAGCTCATCAATGAATGTTACTTCTCCTCCCCCCCCCCCCCCCCCCGACACTTCGCTGAGGTACAAGGGTACAAGGTGGAAGAGAAGAAGAAGAAGTGGGTTTGTTCTTTGTTCTCCCAAATGGAGCCTCTGAAACCACACAGGAAACTTCAGGGGGATCACATCTGGACCATTGTAAATAAAGGAAATGTGACTGATTGTTTCTTATGCATTCTTCTGGTCAACTGCACCACTGGATGGTAAGTTGATGAAACCAAGCTAAATGTGGTCAAGGCTCTGTGGTAGCAAGTGAACGGTACATAAGCACAAACAGATCATCATTCTGGAAAGAATGGTGAAACGGGAAGTGACCAGGACATCTGGTCAACACTCATTACTCAAAGAACAGGCAAGACAGGCATAGTCGAGACTGCTGGCTGCTGACAATTTGACAAGACTACTTATGTGGATGTCGTGAATGATGTCATGTTGGTCCTTTACTGAACTGGACTCTCATCATGTTGGGCTCATTGCTGATTTCCTCGTCATCTTCATTACAGGTCATCTTCGTTACAGGTGATTTTCATTTCAGGTCATCTTCATTTCACATCATCTTTATTACAGGTCATCTTTGTTACAGGTCATCTCCATTTCAGGTCACCTTCATTACAGGTCATCTTCATTACAGGTCATCTTCATTACAAGTCATCTTCATAACAGGTCATCTTCATTTCAGGTTATCTTTATTACAGGTCATCTTCATTACACATTTGTTGCATCCATTGTGGAGGCATAGATGCACTGCCCCCCAGCTAGCATGTTGTAAAGGTTGACTGTTTAGGGGTGGGTCATTCAAGGCGAAGTGCATCTTCCTGAGAGAAGAGAAACCAACAGTCTAATACAAGTAAGCCAGATGTGTAAAACAGATGTGCCTGCAGATCTCAACTTCTGGAACAAGTCTAAATTTAAGAAGTAAACAAACAAACAGACAGGACTTTCTGCTGGAATTTACAGCCCATGTACACACAGAAGGAAAGATTTTGTTCTCTCTCTCTCTCTCTCTCTCTCTCTCTCTCTCTCTCTCTCTCTGTGTGTGTCTCTGTGTGTGTGTGTGTGTCTCTCTCGCTCTCTCTCTCTCTCTGTGTCTCTCTCCCTCTCTCTCTCTCTCCACCTGTCCCCCTGCCCCCCCCTCTCTCTCTCCCTCTCTCCCCCTGCCTCCCTCTCTCTCTCTCTCTCTCTCTCTCTCCCCCTGCCTCCCCCCTCTCTCTCTCTCCCCCTGCCTCCCTCTCTCTCTCTCTCTCTCTCTCTCCCCCTGCCTCCCTCTCTCTCTCTCTCTCTCTCTCCCCCCCCCTGCCTCCCCTCTCTCTCTCTCTCTCCCTGCCTCCCCCCCTCTCTCTCTCTCTCTCCCCCCCCCTGCCTCTGCCTCTGCTCTCTCTCTCTCTCTCTCTCTCTCTCTCTCTCTCTCTCTCTCTCTCTCTCTCTCTCTCTCTCTCTCTCTCTCTCTCTCTCATACACACACACATAGACATAACCTTTCCCCCCAGTCATGTATAAGTTTTCTGATCTTCTCCTTGGCCTGTATTTTAGTGTGTACACGCTGACGATCCTTATTTCTGGTGTCTAGGTTGCTATGAATGAACCATTATTTAGAATACTGCGATCGGAGTACCAGCTGGGCTACAGTGTTTCCTGCCAGTCAGTGGCCACCGATGGAGTCCTAGGCTTCTTGATTGCTGTGGAAAGTCAAGCAGATAAGTTTAGGTAACTGTCTGAGACATTGGCTTATCAGCAGCCGACTCACACATTGGCTAACAAGTAGACATTTTTTATGCTGGTCAGGTCAGTAATTGGGCCTGTCTCTTTTGAACGCATCGACACTGCAGGAGTCCTTTTCAGGGCTCTTAGTGGGGTGCAGTGCTGAGCCGTTTTATATGCCACACATAACTTGGTCACAATTATAACCTAAAGCTTCACCTTAAGGATGCTGGTTGAAAATGATTTTTTGTGTTTTTTCTCAGAAACTGATAATGAAGATGTTGGCTTGTTGTCTACTTTTCCACCCAAACACACACACACACACAAACCAACCCTTGTCTCAACATCAAAAACAACTTGTGAGAAATGAAGACCAACTTGATCAAAAGCACACTGAAGATCCTTACATCTCCACAGACACTTCCCTGGGGTAACTTAAACCTGTCGACACAGGAACGCTTTAAAAAAAAGCCACTGGGAATTCCTTTAAAAATCTTGACCCCCCCCACCCCCAAAATACAATTTTTCAAAGGTCACTGGTCACGAATTTTTTTTATTTATAAAGATGCCTATAGGGAGTAGTCTGTAAACATGAACAGAGTAAAGCATTAAATTGAATACATGTCCCAGAGCCTAATGAAATATATGTATTTGATGACTCATGCTGTGACCCCTTGACCTCCACCACTTAAGCTTATGGGAAAATTGGACATCAGAATAGCTTTAAAAAGATATTTGTTTCACGGGTAACCCTCCTGAAATGTTTTTAGTTAATTTTTGTATATCCAAGCCTCTTTCCTGATTGTATGGAGGTTGGGGGATGGGGGGAAGAACACAGCCAATAGTTTTAACTGTGTTTCGTAAACACTCAAGTCTAGAAAAGTCAGGTTAAGCGACTTTCTCAGGGAATTGGACCCAACTGGAGGTATCAGTTTTGCCTCTTCTTGGGGCAAAGTGGTTAAAAAAGAGAAGCATTTAAGACAGCCATATGTTCATTGGAGATTCCTGACAGTCTTTTGTCATGGCATGTAAGGACGTCAGCACATGAGCTAGTGAAAGTGAAAGCTGTTGTAGATCCCAGTTTATGCAGAGGTGTGATTACCCCTGCTCTTTTGCAATGCATTTGGTGATAAAGCCACTAGAGTCCAAAGTGTGGGAAAGTGTGTTTTTTTCCTTTCTATTTGTACTCCTTTTCAAATAGTCAACTCCAATCCTCCTTATTCCCTACTAGAAATCATCATTTATTTACATTTACTGTTAAAAATTATACTGGTGTAATCCCAGCTTTTATCTGGCTATGTGCTTAGAGCACTGTGTTCTCATGTAGAAGATCTGGGTTCAGTTCTCGGTAAAATATTAAAAATCTTTTTTCACCCCTTAAGCTGCACTGGTCATATGGGAAGAGCACCAATATTTTTACAGACCAATCGGCACCAGGTGGGTAATGTGGTCAGCATTACTCCGATCATCTTTACTTCCCCAGGAACGAACGAACGAACAAACTTTATTTTTAAAGGGTTAAGAATTGGGCACGCAGGCCCGTCTAACATTCTGCCCTTCGAGGTCTCCCTCCATTCTTACATCATTTCATTCACAACATCAAGTAATATTTAAAGTTAGCAATAGCATCAAAATAATCAATACAAGCATTGGAATGTGCACATTTCTAACTACAGTAAAACGTATTAGTTGTAACAAATCTAAGAAAAATGAGCGCTATTTTTCACATATGTTTTATCTTCTATGGGGGCATATAATCGGTGCTCAGATAATATTCGAACAGTTTCCGATTGTATGTATATGGACTAGTGGTACTTTTGATTTGCTGTGGTAGATAGTTCCACAATTGAGCTGCGGAATATGACAGACTTGTTTTATAAAGGTCTATCCTAGGTTTAGGGATGTGTAATATGTTTAGACGCTTACTATGCCGTTCATTATATTTGAACAACGGCCATAAGTAACATGGAGCCTTTTGAGATAATATTCTGTAAGAATATTTTGCCTTATTGAAAAGTAGACGTTCACGAAGCGGTAGTAGTCTAAGATCTTTATATGTTTCGGAGCTCAGTGTTCCATGATTGTTACTAATTAAGCGAATGGCGCGCTTTTGCAGTGATGTGAGTCGCTTGATAACAGAGCTGGAACAGCCATCCCATATTATAGAGCAATAGTCTACGTGTGTCTGGATATGAGAAATATAGAATATCTTTCTTGTGTGTTCATCAATAAAGTTTTTAATTTTTGCAAGCTGGTAAACCTTTTTAGCTGTTTGCTTCACAAGTGCTTGTACGTGTGAGTTGAATGTTAGATTTGCATCAATTACCAACCCCAGTGTCTTGTGCTCAGTTACATTTTCTACTTGAGTGCCCCCAATGTAGAGTTGAAGAGTTCTCTGAGAATTTAAACTGTATAGTTTTTGCCTGGTTGTTATTAGCATAGATTTGGTTTTATTAATGTTTATTTGCATACGGTTTGCACTGCTCCATTGGACTACATTATTTAATTCTTGTTGTAATGAGGACTCTAGTAAATTACATGTTTGAGCATTTGCCTAGATGGTACAGTCGTCTGCGAATAAATTGCAGGACGACAACAGACATAAAGGAAGGTCATTTATGTAGATATTGAATAACAGAGGACCGAGAATCGAGCCTTGAGGTACCCCAGTATTTAATTCAGTGGCTTGCGATAGTGATTTATTGTAACAGATTATTTGTTTTCTATTTAACAAAAAGGATTTTATTAACTGTAATAGTCTAGGGTTAAATTTCATTGTTTCTAATTTTCTTATAAGAATGTTATGGTCTATCATATCAAAAGCTTTCTTAAAGTCTATAAACACTCCGCCACATATTTTCTCATCATTAACTTTATGGTGCCATTTTTCAATCATGTTAGTTAAAGCAGTATGGCAAGAATAGTTTGGTCGAAAACCTGATTGGTTATCCACTATAAGTTTGTTGTGATCTAGGTGCTGAAAAGTTACATTATGAATATGTTTCTCTAGTGGTTTCGATAGTAATGATAACAGGGAGATTGGTCTATAGTTACCTGGAATACTACTATCTAATGAACCAGATTTTAGATGTGGATACACTTTGGCAATCTTAAATGCAGATGGGAAGTAGCCTTTGACAAGACATTGGTTGTAAATAAAGGTCATCGACTCACAAATAACTGGGGCTGCACTACGAAGGATCCTATTGCTGATTCCGTCTAAACCGGACGTATTACCGTTTCTGAGACTGTTGAAATGTATAAAAACTTCCGCAACTGACATGAGAGGAATGTCAGAAGGAATGTCTTCAGGGCATTTATTTTCACAAAATGCTGATAGTAGTGATAAATCACATGGATAGTTTGGCATTGTGGCTTTTACATTTTCTATATTGGCTTCAAAGAAATTACTGAAATCATTCGGTGACACCCTATACCATGATAGAAATCCACGCATCCAGCAGTTGGTTTAAAACATGTACATTGGAATTCCGAGTTGGACTTGCAAAGCCACGGAGGCCGCTAATCCTTGTTAAAGGGGAAAAAATGTTCTGTTGGAATAAATAAAAATATTGTGTCCTGCGCAGTTCATGGTAGCTCCACTAACTGTCTTGCCTTAATTCCTATGAGTCGTGTAGGACAGTGTTTTCCCAAACTTTTCTTACTCGCTGCGCTTTTTTTCAATTAAAGTTTGTCCAGGCACCCTAAGCTAAGTAAAAGTATGACTATTCGTAAGTAAGAGATTGAAAAAACAAAAAACAAAAACTTGTGTATCTTCTGATATTTTGCGGTGCCCCTGTGAAGAGTCGTGGCTCCAGGGGCGCCGCGGCTCACAGCTTGGAAATCACTGGTGTAGGAAGTTTCTAAACAGCATGACTTCTGTGACAGATTGTTTACATCCTGGTAGGACACACCAGATAGTGACCCCAGAGTAAAGGTAAAGTCGGGAGATATGAACCAGCGTCATTGCACACGGTTATAAACCATAAGCGCTCTGCCACCAGTACGGACAGCTGATAAGAGACTGTCTGCCTTTGTCGCTGTCCGCTTGCAACTCTGTAGCTACAGCAATGTTCCTCCATTTATCCCAGAGTCTCAACTCTGGTACCCATTACCTAGAGGCTGGGTAAACCCCGGAAACTGACTGGTTTCGAACACCGGCCATGGGCTGCAGCAAGTCGCAGCTGGATTTGAAAGCGAGTCTCCTATGAACTGCATTAACACAGCCCGAAGACCCCAGAATAGCATGCAGTGGTTGAAAGCCTTGTGCTCCACTCACACACTTCCAGGACTTTGAGGCATGCATCACGATACTTGATCTTAATTTCCTGATGCATTTCTTTAGGTTTCAACCAGTTTGAACACACACACACACAAAGCAGCAGAAGCCTATGTGGAAGAATTTATAAACACTATCAACTCTGAAGGTTGTGTACCTCATCACATTTTCAGTCACAATGAAACGGGACTTTTTGGGGGACAAAATGTCTACAGAGACCTACATAACCTGAAAGGAAAAGTCACTACATGGTCACAATCCAATGAAAGATGACAGGCTTACACTTTTTGTGTGCGCTACTGCAAGTGGGGGAGTCCCTGTAGTGTGGTGGCTAGATGCTCACGTGCGGATCGGAAGGTAATAAGTTCGCTCCCTGGCAGAGCCGGACATTTTTCAGAAATGACATGGACTCCTAGGTCGACCCAACCTTGAGTGGGTATCAGATGCAGTCCTGGGAAGTAAAGGCGGCCGGCGTGATAGTGACCACATCTATCACCCATCTTGTGCTGATTGGTCTGTAAAAATATAGGTCTAACCCTAAGGCATAGAAAAGGAACCTTTACTTTTTTTGCAAGTGGTGATTGCAACCACTCTGACAAATCTGTGCACTACTAAATGCATATAAAGTGCTAGAGGGTAAACTCATGGAATTGTGGAGAGGGAATAACATGGCTTAAGTAACAAGATTACTGTTTATAGAGTGGTTGACAGAAGTGGTTGCACCAACCGTCAATGCTGTGTTCATTAGGGATGTATTGTTTTGTGTCAGTTAATTACAGTTTTTATTGTTTACAGCATGCAACAGATTGATGAAATCATGGAAACATTTCTGCAGAATTTCTTGGTTATCCTGGAAGAAACCCCATCTTCAAAATTTGCTGATATGGTAACATTTTAAATTTTTTTCAAAGTACACTTTCTGTACTTTTTCTCTTTTGTTTCTAGACATTTGTAATTCACATGTGATAGTATTCTCATAAAGCTCTTTCTTCTACATTGTGTTTTCCACGTGCTTACATGTCTACAACTTTGCCTACCCATTGTATGGGAGGGGGGAGGATCTCCCTGACAAAGTGGTCAAACTGTTTGCTTCACACTCTGAAAGTCATCAGTTCGTTTCACAGCTGTGCCATTTAGTTCACGAGCGCAATGTTTTTGTTTACGAAGATCTCTGTGGATTGTCACCAGAGCTGCGAAGTTTGTGCTTCGTATGTCACTCTTGTCATGGCGTTAGTCATTCTGTAAAAACAAACAAAAATGAAGAGACTGAGACGTGTGGGATGAAACGAGGTGCAATTGAAGTTGATCTTCTTGACTTTAACTTTAGCATTTCATGTATGAATTATATTACTTGTGACAACCACATACTTGTGACAACCCCATACTTGTGACAACCACATACTTGTGATAACCACATACTTGTGACAACCACATACTTGTGACAGCCTCATACTTGTGACAGCCACATACTTGTGACAGCCTCATACTTGTGACAACCACATACTTGTGACAACCACATACTTGTGACAGCCTCATACTTGTGACAGCCTCATACTTGTGACAGCCTCATACTTGTGACAACCCCATACTTGTGACAACCACATACTTGTGATAACCACATACTTGTGACAACCACATACTTGTGACAGCCTCATACTTGTGACAGCCACATGCTTGTGACAGCCTCATACTTGTGACAGCCTCATACTTGTGACAGCCTCATACTTGTGACAGCTTCATACTTGTGACGGCCACATGCTTGTGACAGCCTCATACTTGTGACAGCCAAATGCTTGTGACAACCACATACTTTTGACAACCACATACTTTTGACAACCACATACTTGTGACGGCCACATACTTGTGACAACCACATACTTGTGACAACCACATACCCGTGACGGCCACATACTTGTGACAACCACATACTTGTGACAGCCTCATACTTGTGACAGCCAAATGCTTGTGACAACCACATGCTTGTGACAACCTCATACTTGTGACAACCACATACTTGTGACAGCCATATACTTGTGACAACCACATACTTGTGACAACCACATACTTGTGACAGGCACATACTTGTGACAGGCACATACTTGTGACAACCACATACCCGTGACGGCCACATACTTGTGACAACCACATGCTTGTGACAACCTCATACTTGTGACAACCACATACTTGTGACAACAACATACTTGTGACAACCACATACTTGGGACAGGCACATACTTGTGACAACCACATACTTGTGACAGGCACATACTTGTGACAACCACATACTTGTGACAACCACATACTTGTGACAACCACATACTTGCGAAAACCACATCTCTTTATAGAATCTTGTTTTGTTGGTCACTGGATCTTTTTGTTCTTTATTTTTATTGTTGTTGCTTGCATCACTTTAAAGGACTCAGATAAGGAGCATGTCATGGAAGTTCTGTCCAGGATATTCAGGTGTGCGAGGTAATGGGCAGGCTGATGGATTAGTTGATGCTGCCCTTCTGGGTGGTAAGCTACTTTATAATAAAGTTGATATGGCGATGACTCCCTGGGGTGAAATAGACAATACAGTAGAACAGAGAATCCATACATTGAAACACTAATTCATTGGGAGATGAGTAGAGGCTATGGGAGATATTCAACACATAGGTGGACTTTTAATCAGGTTGCCACTGATACTGTTAGCATGTCGACTCTTTGTTGGCTACTGAAGGAGGGGATGAAGCACTTGTGGGAATGCTCCTGAGTGCATTGATATCAGTTCTTGATTTATTCATTCCTTTGTTCATCTATTTTATTACTTATTGTTTAGTTTAGCTCATCATTTATGTCTACAGTTTATTCTTGGCTTCACATTTCCTTACTTTTTGATTCTGTTGGTCCTTGTTTCAGGTTTTTTTTTCTTCTGCCCTTTGTCCCTCATTGAAACAGAGGCCCTCAACCAACTCAGGCCAAGTCATCCTGTCATTTGCTGTCACATGCAGCTGACCACATGTCTCCATATCTTTTCAGCTTCACTTTCTAGCTTCCTTCTCCACATTGTATTTGGTCTGTGCTTATTTCTATGCGCCCGTGGATTTCAGTATTTTGCCCTTCTAGTTATTTTGTTCTCAGGTTTTCTCATGTGTGTCCTATCCAACTCCAATGTCTTTTCTTCACCTTTTGATTCACTGGAATTTGTTTAGTTCTCTTACAAAGCTTGATGTTAGTGATTCTAACATACCATTTAATTCCCTCAGTTCTGCTCAGGCACTAGTTAATAAATGTTTGTAGTTTATTTCAAAGGATTGTTTCAGGAACTCCCACAGTTCAAAGCCCATTCTCCTAAAATTCCTGGGATAAAGGGCAAAATTAGTTACTTTTGTGTAATTTCTGTCTTTGATTTATTTTGTGGTTTGTTCATCAGTCATTGAGGTGCCATCTCCCAGTGCAGTTTGGCTGCAAGGGATCGCTAACACACACTGTCTTTCACTCCGGATGTACATTGTCTCAGCAGCTATTCATATGTCTCCTGTTGTTATTCTGCCACATTTATTGCTGACTTCCTCTTACTTCTTGCCATTTTTCCCTCCATTGTAGTTTCCATAAGAATTTTGTCTTTTAATTTGGCCAGATTACCTAACTTGTCAGTTTGTATTTCTTTCGGCAACTTTGTTTTTTATTCTGTCAGGGAGATCATTACGGTCTGGGGAGAATGGCACTGCAAGGAGTTATCCAGAGATCTGGCTGACTCTTAACACTCAAGGGAAAGGCTAGACGGATATACAATCAGTTACTGGTGCCATCGGAATTGGAACTCCTCACTTTCTGCTGAAGATGGGGACCAAGCACTTATGGGGGTGTCCGAATGCTGTGATGTCAGTTCTAAATTCAACATTCATGTCCATGTCTATAACAAATTTTTTTAACATAATTTGTTTGGTCCCTTGGAATTCTTGTTAATGTTTTACTGTAAATCAGTGTTGGTATTTACTAGCTGTTTAGTCTCATGGTCCCCTTGCCTCAAGTATTCTCTCATCACTGTCATGCAGGTGAACATTCAAGCTCAGATCCGAGCTGCAGACGATGCAGACTTGAATGATGAGTCCCACCGTTTCTGGCAGGAAATTGTCAAGCAGAACTATGTGTTCAATCGTTTAAGTATGGAGGTGAGAGGTCAAGGCTGACTGCAATTTTTAATAGTCGTACATTGTTTTAGTGGACAGGTCAGTGGGGAAGTCGATCCAGTATTGCAGATTATTCAACCTTGTCTTGTAGACAAGTAGTTGATTGATACAAGCAATCTAATGATTTGTTTTTTCTCCATCTGCTTCTTCTTCTCCTACTCCTCCTCCTTCTGCTTCTGTTTCTTCTTCTTCTTCTCATTCTGCTTCTTCTCCTCCTCCTCCTCCTTCTTCTTCTTCTTTTTCTGCTGCTGCTGCTGCTTCTATTTCTTCTTCTTCTTATGCTGCTTCTTCTCCTAATCCTACTCCTCCTCCTCCTCCTTCTTCTTCATCTTCTCATTCAGCTTTTCCTTCTCCTTCTCCCCCTCCTCCTTCTCCTCTTATTTCTTCTGCTACTACTATTTCTATCCTTTTTTTTTTTTTGAAATTTTAATTAGAAGGCCAGTAACTTTGATGAAAGCTAACATGCAGATATCATACAGCTTTGTCTTGATTGAGATTAAAAACAGGCAAGATTGCATCTCCGTTAGCAGCATAAAATGTACAGTGTTGGGCTACATTCTCGGCATTGTCATATACCAAATATATAAACAAACATCTTCAGGCGGTTTTGTGGGAGATTGTTGGAGGCATGTGATCTAGTGGAAAATGAATGGCAGATGCTGACTAATGAAAGGCGAAAGATGATTTTCCCTCACCCAGCTTTGGAGTTTAGCGAATGGTGCAACTCTGTGAGCTTTAGATTTCATCTGGAATGCTATTTGTTTGCCAAGCATGGTTTATTTTGTGAACTGCAGATTCAGAAAATGGCGAGTAGCCTGTAAATTGGTGGTGCCTTGTGTAATAATACATGTGCAACAGCTGATTTATTGTGATAACTGCATCCAGCGACAATGAATGTTTTTTTTCCTGGTGCTAGAAATATTTTTTTTCTTTAAGAATCTTTGGAAACTCCCACAAGTTCATGACCCTTGTAAAAGGGGTAATGTGGACTAAATATTTCACTCATATTTCACTTGTCTTGTCCACCCTGCATCCTTTTGACAAGCTATTTTGTGACACATTGCATTGAGTAGAACTGGATTGTTTTATTGGCTTCAGCATGATGCAATGAAGAGAATAACTAAGCGGGCATTGGTTGACTGGTGCAGGATGCTAGTTTCTAGCAAGAAAAGAAAGCTAACTCTAATGGTAAGTTAAGAGTGTGGTGTGTGTAGGTGGGTATGTATCTGGGTAAATGGGTGTATGTTTATGTGGGTGTGTATTTATGCATGTTTCGGTGGGTGGGTGGGCCCGTGTGTATACTAGAGTGTGCATTCAGTTTTATCAGCCATGCCTTTGTGTGTTTTTCTTGATATTCATAATGTGCATATTATCATATGAACTTAACATTCTTATTGATAAAATTCATCTGCTGTGTGAAAGATGGGTGTTTGGAAAGGCAGAATGTAAGACAGGCCTGCCTGCCCAATTTGTGACCCCTTGACAAAAAAGTTTTTTCATTTGTTCGTTCGTTTGACAGGTATGTTTACCAGGATAGCATTTGTATCAGGATTCAGAATTCTTTTTCTTATCTCAGTTGACAAGGAAAGATTGGTTAGAATATTCTTCATTTTGATAACTGTTACCTTTGCTTGACACTTCTTCAAACAAAATAAAATTCCAGCATGGTGCATCGTTGTCATTATCATCAGAGATTGCTAATTTTAGGTTCGTCTTCATCACATGTCAGGCATACCCTAAGTGCTCTGATATTCTCCTTAAGCATGTTTCTTAATGTGCTTACACTGACAACTCTTGTTTTGTTGATGTAGCGAGTTTGAGCTGTTGTAAGGTTTCCATATTGGGCTACTCCAATTGGTATATCTATCTAGACCGCATGCAAGTAGGAAAAAGATCATTATTCTTATGTTTAAGGTCTTTGGAGATATAGTCTTGCATTAACTGTGCCTGTAAGGGTATCTGCCATCTTGTTACTTGCATACCGGTTATGTTTTGAGACAGAGAAGCAAGAGATGATAATGATTCTTTGGGATCAGTGGTTTATGGTATAAAGCTGTCAGTCACTAAAGTATAATTCTTAGTCACTTCTTACAGTATGTCTGACAACATACAGCAGGGAGATTCAGTCGGCAGCCCATTGGCCATTCCGCCCGGCAAAGGCCTAGCAAGTGGCCTGGGATCACTTGCCAATTGTAATGTATTAATGATCTTTTCCATGCTCAGTCTATGAAGACTCTGGTGGCTGGGTCGCGCCTGGAGAATGGAGGATGGCAGAGTCCCTAAGGACATCCTTTATGGTGAATCAAAGGCAGGTAGATGTCTAGGCCGACCTCTGATACGGTATAAAGATGTGTGCAAGCAGGACATGAATAATACAGGTATTGAGGTGGGCTCATGGGAACAAAATGCCATGGCCCGTGTTGTGTGGAAAGGGCATATCAGGAAGGGAATGAGAGTGGAAAGAAATGATTGCAGAAAGGCTGAGAGCTGAGCATCTGAACATAAACGGAATTAAAGACAAATGTTGGCAACAATGGTCCTGAAATCCCTGGCTATAATTGTGGAAGACTTTTCTTAATCCAGGCGGGTCTTGCTAGTCACACTAGCCATTGCCAGAATTGTGTCCCATGCCTCCTCATAGCGCAATATAACACTATCGTCTGGAAATACGGAAAGGTGCCAATCAATCAGACAATGCTGGGGCTCAGGCCCAATAATGATTCCCATTGTCGAACATTCTGGCCCCTGGGTAAACTTAGCTGAATTTACAGGGGACAAACTTTTAATATTATTATGTGCCCTAAATATATTATCATCATGTGCCCTGCCAGTAAACATGGGTAGTTATGTTTCACCTTCTCAGATGACAAGCAGACAGTGCTCTTGTCTCACCACAGTCCATGTTGAACTAAGAATCAGCATCACAGCACATAGGATGTTCTCATAAGCACCGCAGCCTCATCTTCAGCAGCAAGCACTGTTCCTATTCCGATAGCATCAGTAAAAGTCTGATTGTATATCTGTCTCACCTTTTCCTTGAGTGTTGAGGGTCCGACAGATCCCCTGCTCACTCCTTGCATCACCATCCTACTCAGACTGTGGTAATCTATCTGGCATCTGCACTGTTCACTTGCCCTCTAAGGACCCTGACAACACTTAGCTTGTCATGTATCAATCCACCACCAAGTGAAGCAGAACCAGCCAGACTATCTGCCTATTCAGTTTCCATTACAGCCACAATACCTGAAAAAAATATCTGATGGACGCTGACTGCCGGGGAACTCCAAAGCATCCATCTTTTTTGGATAAGCAATCTGGCCTATTTCTTCTACATTCACCCTAAAAAGAGAAGTAGGCAGACTGTCGTATGGTTTACAGCTAGGCTGTGATATCTGCATCATTTGGCCTGACGCATCCAGTTTCAGAAAACTTCTAATTTGTTGCTTTTCACAACATGCTTGTAAGGGGCCGGTGGGTCCCCCCCACCCCACCCCACCATTTTCATTACCTCTATTATGAAAATTTATCTCGGGGAGGATTTTAGCTTATGGCCAGCAGGCTTACTACTAAGCAACAATATATCTAGTCATAGAATATTTCCGAGGGGAACAGTCAGATGAAACAATTATGATTGGAACACATTAAAAAAAATATCTGGCCAGATTTCTTTAATATGTTCAGACCAAATATAAAAGACATAATAACACATGAAACATTGCTTGATACCACACTGGAGTGCCTGATCAGTCATAATGTATTGCTTACAACATAAAGATCTAATCTGTGAATTCCCCCTTCCCCACACCCTCCTTTTTTTAAAAATCAGGTCGAAGGTCACTGCAAAGGAAAACAAGACTTTCTCAGCGCCCAATCAGATATTCAGATAAAGAGCATCAGGTGTTTACTGAAAGAATTTAACTTGAAGAAAATCACATCATATTTGCCTAGACCCAGTCAGTTACAGATACCACCAGATGAGCAGGAGTGCCTTATACATCTAAAGAACCTAGGGCTCAACTACATCACAGATATCCAATCATTCAAGAGATTGTTGAAAGAGTATCCCTATCATGTCATCAGAAAATGATTTAGGAGGAACAAGCCTTCATTTTACAGACAAATATTTCAGCTTTTCTCGCTTGTAGCTAATTGTAGAGACAAATATTTCATCTTGTCTGGCTTTTACCGAATTTTACAGACAAATATTTTAGCTTGTCCGGCTTGTACCTAATTTTAAAGACAAATAATTCAGCTTTTCTGACTTGTGCCTATTTTTACAAGATTTCAGCTTGTCTCGCTTATACTTTTTTAAAAAGTCTTGTCATGAATTATATGACCCAGAAGGCAGCTTGAAAGATAATGTAACATCAATGTCTGGGGTGTTCTTCTGCAATCATTAAACTATATTTGGTAATACTGTGTGTCTGTTCATCCTCTTCATTTATTTTGTCAATGTTTTTGTATTATCTCTATCACTTTCTCTCGCTCTCACTCTTCCTCCTCCTCTTTCAAAAATCAAGGTAGACACATGATTTCAGCAAGATCAATGGTAGAATACATGGTTGTAGGAAGAGCAAGAGTAGACACATGTTTGCAGTAAGAACAATTGTAAACATCATGGGTGCAGCAAGTACCATAGCAAACATATTGTTGCAGCCAAGAACAATAGTAGACACATCATGTGTACTGCCAAGAACAATAGTAGGCACATCATGTTTGCAGCCAAGAACAATGGTAGACACATCATGTTTATAGCTAAGAACAATGGTAGGCACATCATGTTTATAGCTAAGAACAATGGTAGGCACATCATGTTTGCAGCTAAGAACAATGGTAGGCACATCATGTTTACAGCTAAGACAATGGTAAATACATCATGTTTACAGCTAAGAATAATGGTAGATACATCATGTTTACAGCTAAGACAATGGTAGATACATTATGTTTACAGCTAAGACAATGGTAGACACATCATGTTTACA